AATTTACTGTAGCCCCATGGAAGGATTATTGATGCTATTCTATTACTTAGCACAAAGCAGCAGTCTCGAGGGGACTGTTTAGTACCATATTCTTGTCTTGATATTAAATCAAGCTATGCCAAGGACTCAAAAACAGCAGGTAACAAGCTTTTCCCTGTTTTTCAGTGAGCTCTGCAGAATCTCATCTTTCATTTGTTTTGAACTGCAGGTCTCTTATGTGCATACAGAAAAATCTCTTAAAAAACCCCCCAAGCCTTAAAGTACATAGTGTGTGTTTAACACATGCAGGAACGCTTCTGGCTGTGTTTTTACTGAGAGGCTCTATGGATGACAACCCTGGTCCTTGTTGGGACCAGCTCTGTCAGAAACAACCATCAGCTCCCCTTCGCTTCTCCCAGTTAAAAGGATTTGAACAGGCAAAGTAGGAAAACAATGACTTTCTGAACCTCTGTGCAATGTGAAGGACTTCCTTTTGGTGCGGACACACGCAAAGCTTACACTCTTACCTGAGTTCGGACAACTACCACTAACCCCAAACACCTGCAGTAGCCTGTTAGAAATAACATTAATGATCTTTTCTGAATTCAAAGTAAGGAAAAAAAAAAAAAAAAGTTGTGCTTGGCTTGCCTGAATGAAATGAAATGTTTTATACACCACACAAAGTCAAGCTTGACGTTTGGGACTCGGAAATACTATCTGAGGACTCACTGAGGATACTGTTCAGAGCACCACCAGCATGGGTCATACCTGTCCCCCCAAATTAAGGGTTTTAATTCTGCCAGCCTGAGATCACTTTATTCAGCTACATGAATTAATTCTTGCACTTTTTTCCTTATTACACACACATATATTCAAGTCTAGGCTCTTCCATAAACAGAGCTTTTCTTGATTACTGTCAACGTTCCATTCCATTGTGTCATCTTGTTTGTCTTTTGATGTTATAATTTCCTTATTTTACAATGTTTTAACTACATTGGCTGCAACTGTTAAAATAATAACTAGTGATTTTGGGGGTCAACTAGAAAGGCTTTAAAAAGATTTGATTAGCCAATTCATTTTAGTAATGTTAGAATAACTTCCTTTTTATTTGACTATGTGAATGAGTGTTGGTGCATATTCACTTTGGCAAAATACTGCAAAGTTTAATCCTCTCTCCTAAATAAAAAGCTTTCACTGACAGAAACACATGAGCCAAAGAATGTATCTTACCCAAACACTAAGGTGCTCCCCATGAGGCACCCCAAAATAATTCGTATTCAGGAAGACAAAGACCACGTTTAGCCAGCAATATTTACCACAGTGCCTTCCCTGGGGTAATGTCCAGGCCACTATCCTGAAATCAGAGTAATTTAATTGCTGAGCAGCAATCAAGATGGACACAGATCCGTGGATCTGCTTTCTCCCATCCTCACTCTCAGCTTTTCCCACCCAGCAGCTGCTCCAGTAGGATGGATTCCCAAGGGCTTGTGAAATCCCTGCTCCAGAACTAGAAGAAATGTTGTAAGGTCTCTAGACCCATTAAGTGAACTACAACTACAGTTGGCAGTAACATGATACAACCTGCCATTAAAAGGTCTATCCCATTGTCTATGTCAAATTACAAGTGGACCTCCAATCTTCTAGCCAGTAAGCCTCCCACCCCTACTCCATTTTATGTGATGATCTTTAATGTACAGATTACTTTTAAATTCTTCACCTTTCTCCTCCCTACAGTTGCTTATGTCTTAGACAGGAGAAGGATCCATCTCCTCTGAGACAGAAGAGAGGTTTTCTGGTTTCACTACGTTAGGAAGGTGGATTGCGACTGAGGCAGAAGATAACCCCAGGTCTGACAGAGGTCCTTAATGAGGGCTGAAAGCGAAAAGGGTAGGAGATATAGGTTTTTTTAACATAGACCGAAGGCAGGAGACTGACAGAGGGCTTCTCCAGGCCAGCGAGGTGACAGTGCCACAGCTGAAGACCTTACCTGTGCAATGCTCCAAAGCTGGAAACCAGAGAGGGCTGTGAGCCAGAGAAGGAGCAGAGGGGGGGACAACCGTGCCTGGTAAAAGATAAATGACAGAGGGAGAGCAGTGGACTCTTCTCTGATAAGGAAGAATGCCTTGTTCTTGTTGGAAAAACATGGAAGGGTAACAAGGCGGGTAGTGTTGAAGAGATAACCTCAACAGGAGCTCCAGGTCTGATGGAAGGTGTCTGAGCTGGGAGGTATGTCTCTCCACACTGCATGGGAGCCTTTTTAGGATCACATATACCACACCGGACAACTATATTAGATGGAAAATTTTGGAGCACAATCCCCTTGGTGTGATGATGACCTGTCACAGGAAGACCTTAGATCAGAAGACACAAATCCTTGAGACGTGGAGGAAAGACCATGAAGGTGGGACCTTCGCAGTACCCCACCTCTTGCCACAAGGACAGAGAATGGATTTATTATGGCTTGCTTTTTCTGTATCACTGTTGTTCTCATGCCCACAATGTTTAATTATTAAAGTGCATTCATTCCTTTTTGTAACTAAGGCATGAATGAATTACGGCAAACATTTTAATTACTTAATAATGCTCTAATCAAAAGCTTTAACAACTCTATCTGGAACTACAAGTTGTTTTTCCAGTTTGATGGCCGTTTATTTCTCTCTAGTGATTTTTAAGGGAAATGCAACCAAGAGACTGTGACATAATCTGCTCACAAACAAACTGGGGTTGCCTGTAAATCCCAATATGCTGAATGGCTGAATATCAGACCCTTTTTGGAAAAGCTGGCTCATGAGGTGTGACCAAGAGGCACTTATTCCTGAACTTCCTTCTCGGTGCAAACACAGATAAAAGATGGGTTTCCAAGCAGAAAAGTGAATCTTTCTTCTGCAAAAGGTTTATTTCAAAAAATCTCCTCTCATTGCTCTGATTGCTCTCACTGTCATTCATTGAAATACCAAGGGCAATGCTGCCAGTATTTGAGTGTGGACTATTTCAGTACTGCAATTCTCAGGAAACGAATGAAATAAAATCTCTCACATTAAATACTAATGCTCCTCCATCTAGTAGCATTTCATAAATTTATTACAGATTACTGTAATGCAGGCTTATGCCTTTGCTCGTATAAACACACTGTAGGAATTATTCACTTGTTCCTCTGTAAATGTCTTACAGTTGTCCGTATAAGACATGAATACAAGAAATATAAACAAAAACATATGAGCAAATTGATAATTCAGCACCAGCCACATAAAGCTATACTACTTTAAGCTGTCCTTATATTACACGGAACCAACTTGGAAATAGTAAGCTTCCATTTAAATAATTGTCCAGAATCTCTGATGAGAACTTCTAAAACATCAGTGATCTTAATCCAGTGGCATTGTATGTATGCATGAAATACAAAGAGCCAACTTTTACAACTTTTACTGGCTGAAATCCTACTCCATTTAAATTAATTCTGCCAGACTTCAGTGTAGCTGGGAATTCATTAAGTGGGGTATAAACGTTATGCCCACTATGACCCATCCTCAATAGAAGTGTAAAATTAAGACTTATTCATACTCCTATTAAAGCATCACTCTGTTTTTCAATAGCGCTTAGGATTTCTTTTATAGAATACCTTTTACATTATTTACATAGGACGAATACAAAGAAGGAGAAGAGAAGCTCAGATGGAGGACTTTCAGTGCTGGCAAGTGTACTGTAAATACTGACTGGTTGCCATCCAGGCCCCTGTTTACCTGACTAAAGTGACCTCTATAACATGCGTATTTCCACAACAGCAACACAGACGTCAGAGATGGGAAGTTAATCCTGTTTTAAAGAGTTCCACTCCTGAACACTGTTTTTCTTTTAAACTGCCGTGCTCTCCCCTAAAGGAGCAAAAAGTTGGTAAACGAATGTTGAATCTATGAAAATTTTAGTAATATATCATCTCCCTAAGCACTAAAGAGCAATGTCAATGCTATTGCACTGCGTCTGCACAGAGCTGATGATCTGCATGGTTAGATCCCAACCCACAGCAGAAATGTGATTACAGGTCTCTGGTTGTTGTGAGCTCTCAAACAAAGTACCGCTAAATTTTCCAAGCCTTAAAAATATCCTGCAGTAAACTAAATTTCATCTGCAAGGTTAGGTCTCATTAACAACCTCACAAATCCAGACAGATATGAATCTCTAACTTGTCAAATGAACAACTGCGTCTCACAGAGCAAGGTCAAATACTGTTCCAGCTTTTAAATTAATATTGTATAGGCTATGTCTTCCCTTGAACCTGATTTTATATTCTACAGAAATACGCTACCTATGGCTTTTAGGAAACCTGATAATCAAACATGAAAGTTCAGTAACAGCTTTATGTATTTTAGATTACTTTCCTACAGAGACTGGAGATTTTCCTGTTACATTGACAACTACATCTACTTTCTGGAATTATTACATATTAACAAAAGCCTCTGTGTATTATTTCATGCACTCCTTATCATTTACGGTTCATTAAGGAAAGGGCATAGCTGAGTATTTCCAAAACAACAGAAATCTCACATCAACATTCTTGGACACTGTAAATAATTTGCTACATAAACTGGACTTATGCTGATCACAATTCAGGAAAGTGTCTTATTTCACTTAGCTGTATGTTTCATTAACGTACTTCTTTAAAACCTTCTTGCCCACATAGAGTTAGATATTTATTCAAGGATCTATGATAAATTTCGCAGTTTCATTATCACTATTATTTTTCTTAAGCTCCTACCTATAATGTCACCAATTACTTAAAGCCAAAGAGAAAAGAAGACGAGAAAAATATAAACTATGAGTAGACAAGAGAACTTAAATCCCACACAAAGCAAAAAAACCCCATTAACAGTGGGCTGCACAAAATAGCAGCAGCCATACGCTTTCAACCACACCTTGCCATAGAAGGGTTAAAATGCATTCAGAACCAAATGCGTTTTTAAATAAACAAAGCTGCTCCTGGGCACAAACACGTATACTGCCTTGCTGCAAACAAAGCCACGTACCTGCAGAGACGCGGGGGCAGTCCGGCAGCATGGACTCCACTGACGTGTCCAGGGGCTCGGAGCTGGACACCCAGTTACAGCAGTTCTGTAAGAGTAGGCAGGCAATTTTGGGGTAAGCCAAAAACTCAGAGCAAAAATAAATACAGACTCTGTATGTAAGGACAATGATCACATCAAAATACTCAAACTAATTTACGTAGCAGTCCTAACAGGGACAGGAAGGTGCACTACACTAGCTTATTGACACTAACTGGCAATGAAATATTGTAGTTTCATACTAAATGCGCAAAAAGAGTAAGACCGCAATTCAGGAGATTTGCAACGTGCTTAAATAGCTTGTCTTTAAGTGCTACTTTGAGTGCCGGTGGACTTACGCAGGTGCTTGGACCAACCGGTGCCTGAATTACCCACTGCGGATTTTAAGCTTTTCCTTTCTGTAGTTGTTAAATAGGTGTTGATATAAACACTGAGCCTGCTCGCTTGCCAACATTAAGAAATCAGAATTTTTCAGGGTGTTTTGATGGAGTACACTGTGGAAAGAATGGTTGTGAAATCACACAACAACAGATTATAACTGAATGAAAGCCATCAAGATGGCAGATTAATATTCAAATAATAGGAAATATAGCTGAGATGAATTGCACAGGAACATTTAAAAATGCAAATACTGGTCTTCAGGGAATTATGTTCAGGAAGCATTTACATTTACCTTTCATTCTTGAACCTCTGAGTAGGATGAATTTACCATGAATTTTTAAAATGTTTTGCTCCAAATGCTACTTGTTCAGGAGTCTATGAATTAAAGTATTAAATAATATGCTTTTAATAAAATATATTGAAACTACATTAAATATATTGAATTGAAGATTTAATTATAAAGCAACTACATTTTTAATAGGATTGCCAGCTGAACTACAAGATCTACATGGCTTCCCTTATTTGAAATCTGAGTTTTCCCTTTCTGAAAACCTGATTAACTTCATTAAGGGGAAAAAAAACAAAACCCCACACAACTTTTTGGAAAGACCCAATGAATTTTCAGACAGATTTCTAAAAAATCATCCCATCAATCATGATTGCAAAAATGGACGATTGCTATTCTGGTAAACAAGCATGTATTGTGTATTTGTAGATGCTTGCTGCCCTAGTTGTGCACCATGGAGTCTGTCCTCACTATGGAAAGATCCTTGACTGGTAGATCAAGTGTCTTATTGTATTTCCTTAATTCATTCTGTCTGGAAGAAGATGTCAGCTGTGTTGCAGTGAGGAGAGAATTTCAAAGGCTTCAGTCCCCACCAATAAAGGGCGAGGAATGGCTTTTGAATAGATTTGTCAAGGCAACCCTACTGTTCTGGGACCAGGGAGAGCAGGAACAACATAAAGGAAGGGTTGCTGTATGAGATTAGAAAGTGAAGTTCACAAAGCATGGCAGATTTTTGTAAGAAACAGTAGATCAATGAAACTATTGAACTCGATGGAAAAAAAAAAAGAAAACAAACACACTACCCACTAATGTAACTTTTTTAGTAAAAAAATTATTAAAATGGAAGTATTTCACAAAGGCTTTAAGGCTTAAAGTAGTAAAGCATTATACATTTTACAATTTGCATGTATAATTTTAATTAACAGCCGAATGTGAAATTGCAAATGTAAGATGGTAGAAATTATAAAAGAAGTAGAATTTTTATGAAGTATTACATTCATTTGAAATAAGTAAAATTAATATTAACTACTGATAGAACACTACATCAGAGAGCTGGAGATAATACAGAAGATTAGCACACAATTAACCAGCTTTTATATACAATGTGACACTTGCCTGTAAGAAATAAGTATTCTCGAAAGCAGTGTCAAGATATGTAAATGGATGATTTGTTTTATCATTCATCACAGCTCCTAATAAATTCAAAAATCATGACTTCTATAGGTACTAAAAATAGGCCACCAATGATACAGGAGAGATAGCTTCAATGAAGAATTACTTTTTTAACAATTCATTCTTTCAATGACAGCAATTAGCCCTACAGACAGGCAGCGATTAGGTGTATATTTTAATTATTATTCATTTTACCAGTAGCCTTAAACCTGATTAAAGTAAGAGATATCCAGGTGATATGCTAGTCTTAATACCACTCAGCCACACTTCACATATGTAAAATTCTTCTTTCTTATAGGAGATTTTCAATGCTAATGTAAGTTATGACACTCCATCCACTTTTTAGGCCATTAATCATTTAACTTATTCTTTAAGATCTACTTTCTGCAAATGAAATTAAAGGTAATGCACTTGTCTTATTCAGACTAAATGCTTAAAGAAAAATGGAGTTGTCAGATTCAAATTACAGGATTTAAAATTTCAGTTTTACTACATAACATATATTTTAAGGTTTTGATTTCCCATAAAGAAAATGGGGATTTTTCTGACAGAGCCTGTAGGGGTTACCTTTCTTTATATTTTTAACATTTAAGTCAGAGCTGTCAGGCTGCATCCCAGGTGATTCTCTATTCCCATCAGTCATGGCCTATAAAACTGTAAGGTTAAGTCAGGAATAGGCAGGCTATACACAAAGTTTCACTAAATCCATGTGAAAGAAGTCAAGTCTAACAAAAAGTTCAGGATGCGACCAGTTTAAATTTGCCACATAGACCTACTGTTTTAGTGTTTGGCAACAGGAACATAGAAAACACGGAGATGAGCCTGATCTGGCAAGGAAGAGACTCATAAGTGGAAGTTTAGTTGGTCTCACTTAAAAAAAAAATTTGATTTTTAAAATCTCAGCAACCTCATACTTAAATATTAAATGAAAATTAAATGCATGGCATCATCCTTCACCCAAGGGTGGAACTTGGTGCTGGCTCCCAACCAACACCAGATCATCTTGGACCAACTAGCCATTGGTAGGTGTACAGCAGCAAATACTCCAACTTTTCATCAGAAAACCTCAGAGCACTTCAGAAGTAATTACATCTCATAAAACTTCTGAGAAAGGCTTTTTTCCCAGTTGTGCAAATCATCAAAATGAGTCATGAAGAGCTTAAAGGGGGTTTTCCACTGTCACCAGGTCAAGCCAGGAGCGCTGGGTGCACCCTGGACTTTGCTCCAGATATCAGGCAGTGCGTGGGCTGCCTTGGTATATGTCTCTATATTGCTGTGCAGCAGGAAGAAACACTGGACTTCATTCTTATTATTTTGACTGCTAACTTTGAACTTCAGAAATGGGTTTAACCTTGGTTATTTTAGGGGCTGGTATGGGCACACAATTTCCATCGTCCTGTAATGTGCTGTCTTTCATACCCTAAAGAAATAGAAGAGGTCAGCAGATAAAGACATGTTTATAGAGCCATACACAGACGTATATACCCCAACTCTTTAAAAAAAAACAGCCTCACCTCTCGCATCCACTCTCGAATACTTTTCCCAACTTCTTGATGCCACACATTGTGAACAGAGTCTGTCAACGCCACAGCAGTTACCTTATTCTTTACTTCTGCCTCTCGTTGAATCATCTGTTAAAAAATATTGGCTTTAAGTTCTTTCTTCCTATTGAATAGAGTCTGCTTAGTCACAGATAACGATCTTAAATTAAAAAAAGAAAGAGCAATACAGGTTCAATACTTGACTTCACTTGTTTTAAAGTTTATACAAATCCTAGCAGCTCCAGAAACACAGAAAGACCTAATATTTTTGATAAAAGAAATAATACTAACTTTTAACTGACTGAACTATTCAGTCCTATTATTTTCCATGTGGCTTGACAATTCTAGGATTAAAGGTATCATAGTGAAAAAATGGAAGATTCCCTGAGGACACCTTTTACAAGCTTCTCCAAGTTCCTATTTCCGTGCTTCAGGGAAGCTGATACCCGTGGTTCACTGTAAGCTACTCATGACTATCATCTACTAATTTTCAGTAGATTGCTGTAGTTTTTCTGATGTACAATCTTACTTTGACTTGTATGGTTTTTTTTCTTTTTCTATCCAATTTAGCTACCTTGCACTCCCACCATGGTCCCAAAATTCTTTGTGGTCTCTCTTATACATTTGCTTACCCAGCTAATGCTGGAACCTCTCAAGATTTTTTGGATATTAAAGAGCCTCTGTTGCTGCAAATGACAGTATGACTAAATAATATTAGTTCTAAAACCAATTAAATGATTGCTGCAAATAACATGAGTGAACTGACAAAGATGCTGTGGAATTCAGTGCTGCTCTGCAAGATAAAAGGGACTGGGAAAGAATAGTTTGATATCAAAGAGAGACAAAAAGGTTTTAATCTCCTGACACAAGTGACCCTAATTTGTAACACTGGATCAAAGAAAGTATAATGAATTATACTTATAAAACCAGCATTTTGCAACTAGTGTCTTTATCACTGTATATGCTGCACTAAAGTTAATGGTTTTTTTCAGCTTCTTTTTGTATAAATGGCAATGCATACAACATTTCTAAAACCAGGCATCCTTTGTTCATGCTCTAGTAACTGCTTATCAGCACACAGGCTGCACCTCCAAAAACACTGCTCTAAAAGAGACTTTTACAATGGGGATGTGAATTATATTTTGCATCAGAAACGTCAAAATAAACACCTTGATCCATATTTTTGATAGAAAAATAGCATTTACCCACACCTTATGCAAACTACCTCCTAGTTTCTTGAAAATATCACAAAAGTAAACACTTTTGACCAAACACTCCGATCCCACATAACCGCACTACAACATTCTGAATTATCGTGTCTTGCCTTCTGTTTGGCTTACATTATGTACATTTTAAAATCAGTGTAATTGAATTAATATTCTAAGGGAAAAATATTCACCACTATTGGCCAGGTAGTGTCAATGCAGAGCTCCCCATTCCAGATAAAATCAGGTATTCACCTTCCCCAGTACTCTGTCTTTGGTAATGTCAGAATTACATGACTCTGGAATTCAGCTGAGCTTAGAACATCTTGGGCAAGTGCGTATGAAGAAACTCTTAAGACTAATCTTTCTTCATGTGAAGCCTTTCCACACATACCATTTTTTCCATCATTTACCCTCCCATGGGGCACATTTAATATCTAGAATTTTTGGAGGATGGGATATAACAGATATGTGTGCGTGGGACGAAATCATGCATTTAGGACAAAATATCATCTATTGCAAGAGGCCGAGCTTCATTCAGATGTAACACAATACTGACATTTTCAGCCAAACATCTGATACTGAGCACTAAATTTCACTGTAAGTATAAAGATGGCAAAACTCCCTCCATTATGAAACCATATGCAAGAATAGTGAATCTCTCAGGACGATCTTCAGGCCATTGCAGGAACCACTGGTGATTCTGCTAAAGTGGGGATGAACACCCTGAGCTCCAGAGGAGGGTGGAGCCTCAAAACAAGGGGTTTTATTGATGCTACGATACCCCTCCCAAAACCTGTACAGACATCTCAAGCACTGATAAAAGTTTTGTCTCTCAAAGGGCTGAGTCACTCAGACCTTCGACCAGCCTGGTTCACCAGAACTTGGACTCATTATGAATATCTCATCTGCAATATTCTGTTTTGTTCTGGTCTGTTCAATTCTATTCTGTTCTGTTCTGTTCTATTCTATTCAGATCTTTAAAATGACACCAGGCCCCAAATGTGATTTAGATCTGCCAAACATCTGAAAATACCGGTTTTTAGAGTGCAGCTTTACCGTCCCCTTTATCAGGCAGAGCTATGTGCATGAGATGATCATGGAATGGATGACCCTTTGATTGCAGGGCAAAACCAGGCTGCTTTGGGGAGGGCTGTGGCTAGTTCTTTCTCTTACCAGCCAACACAACGATCCAACTGCTTTACCTTGACATAACAGGTAAGGTAGCATCACCCTCCTTCTCTAAAGAGGACAGCATCTGCAGAAAGACCTTCTGCTGAAGGGCTGCAGGACCTGCTGGGAGTTGTCAGGAGCTTGTGTTGCCAGGCTTCTCCTAAACCCAGCACCACAGGCAGTGTGGTTAGGGGACCGGACCCTCCGTTCCATGTAAGAGTGCCTCAGAAATCCTACCAGAAAAAAAGTTCTCTGAAAGAGACAGTATCTAAAAAGAAGACGTGTAAGCCACACACGCCCAACTCACACTAAACCCTGCTGTATACTGAATAAGTTTTAGAAACACGCCATATGCACTAATAATCCTAAACCAGTGCTGTGCATTCCAGCACTCATTTGGCTGCACCCTCTTGCACAAAATGCTGTGATTTAAATGGGTAAAGGAGCAAAAATATCACTGTCCTTGAAGTGCACGTACCTACCAATTACTTGGAGCTATTACATGCTGGGGGAAGCTTAAAACTGGCACCAGCTCGTTGCGTTACAGCATGACTTCCTCCATGAAGGGCTGGTCTTCAGAAGCACTGCTAATGACCAGCAAGGGGAAAAAAATACGCTCTGCTTTGGAAAAACAGTCGTCTCTCAAGCTATTGTATCCCACATTTCTTGTTTTGAAAACTAGCCACCCAGTTCGCCTAAGAACATCACCTTTTTCTTCAAACCAAAAGGAAATACAGATGCGCAGTTCCCTTCTCCCTCTCTAGACCTAGCTCAGGTTTGCTATTCTCAATTTCCCTATCCACATGGAAGAACTGGCAGCCATCGATCACCATCTCTTCCTACTTTTTCTTCACAAGGTACATGCAGTCTTTGCTTTTCAGATCATAAACAATACGGGGAATAATATGCAATATCCGACATGCTGCTGGTGCTTGCTGCTCAGCTTTGTGGATGCCCGCAGAACAGTATTCTCTTCACAAAGATCAGCAAAGAGACTGAGGCTGACAATGCGAGGTTTTTGATAACTCAGCCACAGTGCTGGGGTCAGGACAAGGGCTCATGGATGTAGCAGCAAAGAGGGATTGAAGAGATTAACTGAGCTTTAGCTACAGATTTCTCTACATCCAGCGCAGAAGAAATAAGTTTTGGTAGGCATCCATGCCCTTATGAGCCAACTTGGAAAGAAAATAGACAAAAACAATATATCAAGTGGAGAAAGGATCAAGGGTATAATCTTCCCTTAAACAAGAAGTCTAACGTGTCCATCTTTAAGTGACACAGAAATGTCAAAACAGAGCATATCAAACCCAGGACACTTAGCTTCTACCATAACAGTTCAAGTTCTCTGCTACAACAAGACACTAACTGATAATAATAACCAAGGAGAACAGATCAGGGTGACGCTCAAGCAGCAGACAGTCTTATCAAGGAGGATAATTTATCCCACAAGAATATACAAGAAGCCTATGTGCTTTTGGTCACAGAAACTTCAACACCCAGTAAATGCTTCAGATTCAATGGATTGATAGCTCACAGTTAAAACATATTTATCTTTTCCAAAAATAGTTTTGAATTCCCATAAATCTGAAAAATTCAGTGAGCAGAATAAATTGTTAGGGTAAAATATACTAACATTCAACACAAATGTAGCACCCAGCTGCCATTCAAATTTGATACAACTACAGTTGATACAACCAAATTCCAAGGGAATGATGCTATGGGATGCATGACTTACACTTCCCAGGACTAGTTTTATTCCATGCAACCAGTACAGTCTTTTAAAGTGGATATGCTAAAACTGAAGGTATTTAATAGACCACAGACTATTTACAATACTACAAGTTTTTTTGGTTTTTTTTTTTTTTTTTTCAGGATAATGGTGCCTTTTACTGAAGCAACAATTGCAAACAAAGACCTAAGGATTTTGTCTAAAGTTAATTTTATGCCTTATACTCTTTGTACGTCAGTAAATTCCATAGACAAGTTTTCACAGCCTAGGATTTACTTAATTTCCTGCTCAATGCTCATTTTCAAATTTTAAAGTATTCTTAGATGAACAGATTTTGCAGAAAGCCATCTCTCTGTGCACCTGTTCATTGGATGGCTTATGGCTCCGCTCACTATACTTAAATTCCTTCTTCTTCTTCCAATAACTCATTTATAGTCAGAAGTAGGGGAACTGGCACTTATCTGGTAGGTAAACCCGTTCTTATTTATTGCTGCATCACTCAGTACACCACTCTGGGTCCTCTAGGCTTTCCCAACCATGTTTTCTATTCAGGCATTTCCATTTTACCTTTGTGTTCCTTCTTTGTATTCAAAGTAAAGTTTGTTTTTGTAATTTATTAATCATAGATCATCACTACTTTATATTTGATTCCCTTAGAATGGCAAGTCATAGAGCAGTGTTCACTGCAACAAGTCAGAAAGCATTCAGGCATCTTTTTGAAAGCCCTCTCTATGCCAGTGGTTGAAAATTTGTTCCTTCACTTTGCAAGGGAAAACATTAATTATCTATTTGCACAAGCATTCAACTCTGTCACGTACATAAGCAAGAACTTGAAATCCCCTAGAAATGCATTCTTTAAATTCATATATATGTTAATTACCCATTTATTGGTCAATTTAATAAGTGTTCTACTGCTAAACTGTTCTACTGCTAAAGGTCAGATGGCAATCCTCTATAAGTTTATATTACACAATTATCGTAAC